TATATATATATATATATATATATATATATACTAATTCCCAATTCATCACTTACACCTTGGTTACAGATATTTGTAAAAAATAATATGATAAGCAGAGCAATTTTTAACTTTGTTCGGAGCTTACTTCCATATCTTAGATCCGATTGGAAAAGTTTCTTAATAAAATACTTATAAGAAAATAAAATAAAATAAAATAAGTTTTTAATATAAGCTAAAATTAATTTACACATGAATTAAAATCAAATTTTTAGAAATAATAAATAATTTTAATTAGATTCTTTCAAAAATTAAATTTCATTTATTATAAATTAATTTTAACTTATAAAATAAATGTACTTTTAAAAAATTTATTTTCTTGTTTTATATGTATTTTTGGTCAACTTTATTCAAACATGCCCGTGAAGTTTGTCTTGAAATGTTCCTAATTATTTTTTTTAAGACCCCAACATGTTCTTAGTTTCTTATCACGCATTATTACAATAATTTAAGAATAATTTATGCATTGTTATTATGTTGTAAATATATTAAAATTAATTTTTATTGTAATGACATGTCATGTCCCTTATACTTAATTTAACGGTTCCTACATGCAACGAGACAAAATATCATTTAATTACCTAAGATTCATATATAAGTAATATCTAGATATATGTACAATGAGGAGGATTTAAACGACACCGGTATAATTTTTATTAAGTATTACATCGCTCAATAACTTTATATTAAATGAATTTTATAAATTCAACCATTAGATTGAAAGTTCATATCACTTTATATGTGTATGTCAAATTTTGTTAAAATTGAACAATTTAAAAATAATTAAAATATTTATATTTTTTTAATATATTTTAAAATAAATATATTATGTTAATTTCATTTTTAAGGTTATTCGTGAAATTTTATAAAAGAACCAAACTGGTAGTACAAAAAATAAACTAATTGTACTGCACCTCGTCTGAAAAATGGAGCGTACCGTGGAATTTCGAATGAACCAGTTGGTCGTACGTAAATAAAACAATTTGGTACTTCAATGTCAACAATCGAACGCTCTAAAATTCAAATCTCCAACACAGACACAATTATATGACAGTAAATTTTAATAAATGTATAATTTGTTATATATATATATAACATTGATTTCTCAATTGGTGTTAAACTTCTTTTAGTGAAAATTCACTTTTACAGAACTAAATGAAATATACCAGCAAATTTGTTCAGATATCACCTTATATTTTGTATAAGAATTAATCACCTTACACTGTCAGTATAAATTTTTTTTACACTAACAACTAATTATATATTTTAATAGTGTCATGTCAGTTGCTTATTTAATGAAATAAAAATAAAATTAAATATTTAAAATATATAATTAGTTGTCAATATAAAAATCTTTACACTAGCAGTGTATGGATGATTAACTCTTTATATAATATTGTCTACCTCAACATTTCAACTTAAAAAAATTATAAATGAAATAATAATATATAACATACGTAATAAAATTTACATAGGTATTAAAATTCAGATTTTTTCTTACTCAAATATAATTTTAAAAAATGATATTTTTAAAATGATTATTTACACTCAATGTAACCTAATATATTTTCTTTAATTATTGTGTTTTTAACAATGATTGCATGTTGTGATGTTCAAAGGTGTGGTGTTGAGAGACAATTAAGAAACTCTTGAAGAGTCTTTAGATGTTCTAGAAGATTTTTCGACAAAGGTTCAGTTTGACATTGAAAGTAAATCATATAAGGTGTATTTTTGAGAATAGGGCCTTATAAACTCATTCTTAGAGAATTTAGATAGAAAAACTCAGGGAGGGAGAGACTTTGGTTGTTGAACCTTTCTTTTTCTTCTCCTAACTTCCCAGGGGTCTTAGAATTGTGCTTCTAGTAGTTGATAGTTGGTTCAAGGTGTTTGGGTTGAGAATCGAGCGGTAACATCAATTTTATACAAAGCTTCGATGTTAGCTTAAAGCCATCCTTGTTCTTCCTATCCTTTCTCTCTTTGCTCGAAG